GCCCCAGTGCCGCCCCCACCGCCCATTGGCCCACTCAGCGCTGTGCGAGGCCTTCGCTGACCGCACTCTCTGGACCCGCAGCGGTTCAGGTGTCGGAGTTGGTCAAGTAGGCGCTGGCCGCAGACATGACGCCTGACGACCAAGAGGAGGCCCAGCCGCTCCTGGGGCCGCCTGGCAGCAGGTGAGCGGCTGGGGCCCCGGGCCAGGGACGCGGCCTCACCCTTTCGCACCGCTCCTGTGGGCACAACTCACCCACGGTCCTGTCCCCGCAGCACTCCCCGTGGCCGCCGCGTCTTCCTCGCTGCCTTCGCCGCCGCTCTTGGCCCGCTTAGCTTCGGCTTCGCGCTCGGCTACAGCTCCCCGGCCATTCCGAGCCTGCAGCGCGCCGCGCCCCCGGCCCCACGGCTCAACGACAGCGCCGCCTCCTGGTTCGGGGTGAGGCCCTGGGATTTCCCCTGCTAGGCTTAGGACCCCCGCGCCCATTCCTCGGACGAGCACCGCAGCCCTCAGCCTCGCATCCGTTGGTACTTAGGGCTGAGACCCTCGGCGGTGCTCGGTCTCCCTGCCCCAGGATAGCCCTTTCCCTGACCTCCAGCCTGGGACTTCGGTCTCCTTCGCTCTGAGGACGCGGGCGGTGGGTGGCGGAGAGGTAGGCTGCGGCCCCCAGCTCCCCTCCTCAGCCCGCGGTCGCCCCGTCCCCAGGCCATCGTGACCCTGGGCGCCGCGGCTGGGGGCGTGCTGGGCGGCTGGCTCGTGGACCGCGCCGGGCGCAAACTGAGTCTCCTGCTCTGCACCGTGCCTTTCGTGGTCGGTTTTGCCGTCATCACCGCGGCCCAGGATGTGTGGATGCTGCTGGGGGGCCGCCTCCTTACGGGCCTGGCCTGCGGCATTGCCTCGCTAGTAGCCCCGGTGAGTAGCCCTGCGTCTCGCGGCCTGAGACCAAGGAGGAGTGGGACAGACCTGGGGGCGTGGCTCTCCCCGCTGGGCCTCCTGGGCACGGTGCCCAGTACCTGCTGT